GTCCACTCACCTCAGCCTCCCAAAGGCACGAGATTACAGGCTGAGCCACCGAGCCTGGCTAGCAACTTATTTTCTTAATTCTGTCACCATAGATCTGTTTTATTTGCTCTGAATTTTATATAAATGGACTCATATAATATGCACACCTTAATGTCTGGATTCCCTTCCTCCATATAATGTCTGTGAGATTACCCATGATATTGTTTGTATCAATAGGTTGTTTCTTATTTAAAATTACTAGCAATATGTCATTGCATGTTTGTTTATGCAGTCTCCTACCTGTGGACATTTGGGTTAAGCTTTTGCTTATTATGAATAAAGCTGCACTAAGTATAATTGCACAATTTTAAAAATTTTAAATAAATATCCAGAAAAGAGAGAAAAGACAAAATTACCTATGCTATGAAGGAAAAAGAAGATATTCTTACAACTGGTCTCATAGAAATAAAAAAGTTGGCTGGGCGTGGTGTCTCAAGCCTGTAATCCCAGCACTTTGGGAGGCTGAGGTGAGAGGATTGCTCGAGCCCATGGGTTCAAGACCAGCCTGGGCAACTTGGCGAGACCTCTTCCCTACAATAAATAAAAAAATTAGCCGGGCGTGGTAGTGCATGCTTGTAGTTCTGGCTACTTGGAAGGCTGAGGCCAGCAGGTTGACACTGGGGTGGCTGTGAGCGGGCCACTGCACTCCAGCCTGGGTGGCAGAGTGAGACTCCAATTCAAAAAGAAAGAAAGAAAGAAAGAAATAAGAAAAAAATTTAGCCCAGGCACGGTGGCTCAAGCCTGTAATCCCAGCACTTTGGGAGGCCGAGGCAAGAGCATTGCCTACGCTCAGGGGTTTGAGACCAGTCTGGGCAACTTGATGAAACCTCGTCTCTGTAATAAATTTAAAAATTAGCCAGGTGTGGTAGAGTGCACCTGTAGTTCCAGCTACTTGGAAGGAAGGCTGAGGCTGAAGGTCACCTGAGCCCAGCAGGTCAAGGCTGTGGTGGCCATGAGCATGCCACTGCACTCCAGCCTGGGCAGTAGAGTGAGACTCTAACTTTAACAAAAAAGAAAAAGAAATAAAAAAACTTGTAAGGAAATAGTAAGAACAGCTTTATGCCAACAAAATAGACAATGTAAATACAATGAAAAAATTCCTAGAATAAAACTTACAAAACTGACTCAACAACAAAATGAAAATGTGAAGAGACCTACACAATAAGAGAAATTGAATGACTGATTAAAAATCTTCCCATAAAGAAAAGCTCAGGTTCAAATGCCTTTGCTAGTGAATCCTATAAAATACTTAAGGAAGAAATAATACAAATCATATCCAAATCTTTTTGGAAAGCAAAAGAGGAGGAACATTTCCCAACTCATTCAATTTGACCAGTATTATCCTGATACCAAAACCAGGCAAAGATATTGAAGTGAACTATAGATTAATATTCTTCATAAGTACAGACACAAAATTCCTCAACAAAATATAACCTAGCGATATGTAAAAAGGATCCAACACTATCACCAAGTAGGATTTATTCCAGGAATGCAGGGTTGGTTTAACATCTGAAAATCAATTAACATAATGCATTGTATTAATATATAAAGGACAAAACTCACATATCATCTCAAAGACACAGAAAGAACATTTGATAAAATCCCAAACCTATTCCTTATGAAAATCCTCAACAAACTAGGAATAGAGAGGAAACTCCTCAGCCTGATAAAGGGCCCCTGTTATGCCAACAAAATAGATAATGTAAATATAATGAATCCCAGTTGATATGTTGAAGTCCTAACTCTAATATCTCAGAATGTGACTGTATTTGACGATAGCGTTTTTAAAGAGGTAAAGTTAAATGAGGTCATTGGATTGGGCTCTAATCCAATATGATTGGTCTCCTTATAAGAAGAGATTAGGATACAGACACAGAGAGGGAAGACCATGTGAAGACACAGGGAGAAGGTGGCCACCTACAAGTCAAAAAAAGAGGTCCCAGATAGAAACCAACCCTACAACACCTTTATATTGGGCTTTAAGCCTCCAGAAGTGTGAGAAAATACTTTTCTGTTGTTTAAGCCATCCAGTGTGTGGTGCATTGTATGGCAGCCCTAGTAAACTAATACAACCCCTATGAAAAACCTACAGCTAACATTACATCTATATATTTTTTATTTTTAGACACAGAGTCTTGTTCTGTTGCCCAGGCTAAAGTGCAGTGGTGTGATCATAGCTCACTGCAGCTTCAAACTCCCGGACTCAAGTGAACCTTCCCCTCAGCCTCCCAAGTTGCTAGGACTACAGGTATGTTCTACCATACCCAGCTAATTAAAAAAAATTTTCTTTTTTTTTTGGTAGAGATAGGGTCTTGCTATGTTACACAGTCTGGTCTCGAACTCCTGGCCTCACATGATCCTCCTGCCTCAGCCTCCCAAAGCACTGTGATTGCAGGTATGAGCCACTAACATCATACTTAATGGCGAGACTAAATACTTTCCTTCCTAACATCAGAAACAAGGCAAGATTGTCTTCTCTCACCACTCCCATTCAACATTGTATTGTTAAATGTGCGATTGGTGTAATAAGTCAAGAAAAATAAAGGCATTGATATTGGAAAAGAAGAAGTAAAACTCTGATTTTATTTGCAGGTGATATGATCCTATATGTAGAAAGACCAAAGGAATGTTAAAAAAAAAAACCCCAAAAACCTCTACTAGAAGAAAGGTCTAAGAATACAAAATTAACACACACAAAAATCACTGCATTTCTGCAAACCAGCAATAAACAATCTGAAAATAGAGAAAACAATCCCATTCACAGGGGCATCAAAAAGAATACAACCTGAACACATCAAACTATAAAACATTGCTGAAAGAAACTAAAGATCCAAATAAATAGAGAGATATTTCACATTCATAGATTGGCAGACTCAATATTATTAAGATGGCAATTCT